TTACTGCAATTTCAGACTATAACGCTCACTGAAAAGCTATCAAGTGTTGCTACATGTTTTATTACTGAACTGATGAACCATCCTTTCATCACTCAGACAACGATCATCTGGCGGTGACAGATTACCAATGTTAAAGGCTTGACCTTAACGTAGAGTTATATTGTCAGAATGGCCAGTGGAAATTTTGAAATCATTAAAGACAAAATCTCCAAATTTCCAGGAATTATGAAATTTCTCCTGGACACACTGTTATAAGATCCTTTACTATCTTGATACCCTGTTCAAGTTCATATTCATGATTCTTGTGTTTCAGCTTCTAAAACTTTTATTTGGAGCAGTCTCTGAACTTTCTCTCTCATGATTTTGCATTGTAGATGACAAAACTGGCTATCATCCCCTGTACAGTTCTTTTAGAGACTCTTTTCTTCAGGAAGATATTCAGGTTAAGTCTTCATTTCAATCTTTCCCTTACTGTGGCAAGCATGTTTCCTGATCTTAAGAAGGATTCTCAAGTCTATGCAGATGGAGTCAGTTTGTTTTTGAAGCATGATTACCTTATTTAGGTTTTACTGACCTGGAAAAATAAAAGTATTTGTAAGACTATATTAATTACAACTATAACTTTGCTTCAGAATACTCATATATAAGGGCAAAGCTTAGCTTTACAGTAAGCAAGCTGAAATGCTGTGGCTAGAGTATGAAAATTATACCTAATGAACTATAATACTCATTAATCACCCACAATACGTCAAAGACACTACGAGATATAACATGTGGTTATTGTTTTGCGTCCCAATGTATTTGTGATTACTCCTGTCCACCTAGCTTGCTCAATTTCTTTCGAAAAATCTTCATGTTAAATATATATTTGAGGAACTTTTGATTTGATTTTTCTTAACTCTCTTTTTTTATATTTTAAGAATATGAGTGTACCCGGTGTCTGAGATTGTTTGTCATATGTTGGAGAATGTGCCAGATATCTTGGGCCTTGTTTCAGGCATATGTCCAATAGTATTTGAGAGGTGGCCGTATCCAACATGAACACTGCTCTTTCTAAAATGCTCTCTGCCTCTTAGATTGTAACTGTGTGGTTGCTTGTAACTTAGACAGCTTAAGGCCTCTTAAAAGTCACTTTCCATTTTAGGGTCATAGGTACATTATTGTATTTGGAATGTATGGTTGGCTTATATGCAAATGTCATACTAATATCCATTTTGAATGCACTTATATATTTGCCTTCTTTTTGGACTAATACACATCCTTGATCATAATTTGCAGTAGGAATGTCCAGCTTTCTCTTACCATCCTTCTTTTGGGTGTTGGAATTGCAACAGTGACTGATCTGCAGCTCAATGCCCTTGGTTCAGTCTTATCTATGCTTGCGGTTGTCACAACCTGTGTTGCCCAGATTGTATCCTTGGCTGAAGTGCACTCTCTGTTGTGATATTCATGTTTCCTTTTTCCACATGTTACCATGCTATATAGGACCAGGAAAATAATAAGGTTTGATCCGAAAAGAAGCTTGATTCCAACTTTTCCTTCAGATCATCATGCAGTTGTTGGTTAGGTGGTGTTGTTGGATATTGTTTTCATGTTGTTATTTAAGACCTTAACCAGTGGCTCTCAGATGACCAATACCATCCAGAAAAAGTTCAAAGTTTCTTCAACCCAGCTCCTGTATCAATCTTGCCCCTACCAGGCAATCACTCTGTTCATCTCTGGACCATTTGTAGATGGGCTGTTGACGAATCAGAATGTCTTTGCTTTCAAATATACCCCTCAAGTGCTGGTGAGAATCAAATCCTTTTCTCCTGGCCGTTAAATATTGCACAAAACATTAAACACTCTGTATTGTCTTGATTGCAGGCATTCATTGTTCTATCCTGCCTAATTTCAGTCTCGGTGAACTTTAGTACCTTTTTGGTTATTGGAAAAACATCTCCAGTCACCTACCAAGTCCTAGGACATTTGAAAACATGCCTAGTTTTAGCCTTTGGATACATTCTCCTCCACGATCCATTTAGCTGGCGAAACATTTTAGGGATCCTGGTTGCTGTGGTTGGGATGATAATTTATTCTTATTGTTGTGCTATTGAGAGCCAGCAAAAAGCCAGTGAAGCATTGCCACAGTTGTCCCAGGTACTTTTGCCTTCTTCCCTTTTGACATGTTGGCAGTATTTTTTCCTGGTATGACCATCAGAGAGAAGAGGAATAGATGGTCATTTTCTCCTCGCCAATTCTCTCTCTCCCCATTATTATTGCATGCTCTTTTAGTCCTCACCGCTGTGGTCTGGTTGAAGCATTTGATAAATTCTGGAGAAATATTGATTTACTAATCTTTTTTTTTTTTTCTTTTTTGAAATGTTGAAGGCAAAGGAAAGTGAATCTGATCCTCTCATAAGTGTAGAAAATGGATCTAGCATCCTAAATGACGGTGTTACAAAAGCCCCTGCGTGGAATTCGAACAAGGACTTGCTTGCATAAAGCCTCCTCACTCGTTACCAGTTTGTTCAGCCTAGTTCAAAATTCATATAAGAAACCATTCGGGCAATGAAGATGTTGCTGCAGGGGTTTCCATACGTCACAGAGCATGGGTTTGAGCATTTTTTAGAAAATTGTATAAGTTCTATCCTAATTAGTTATCAATGCAAAATAATACTCTTTTAGATGTAGCGTTTTTTATTATACCTTTCTAATAGTTAGGTATGCCAACAAAATGCATAATGCAATGGGGTATTGTTGTTCCCATATACTGAAATTCTTATGTTCTTCCCGAGAGAGGGAAAAAAGCGATATGCAGCCTTCAAAATGAAATCATATCAATCTTAACTGAAATGGTTGCTGGTATCCGACAAGAGACTGCTGTGTTCCTACTTGATTCTTGGTACCCTTGGATTTTGCTGAAGCCGCTAATATGTGGTAAAGCTTTTGGAAGTGAAAATAGGGTCTTTCTGTTATTAGGCTTTGGCGAATATGGATGGAACCTGGTAATATGATGGGATTTATCAGTGTATTAGGTTTTGTGAGCTCGTTTCTTGAGACTCTTCTAAGTTCAATTGTGTTTCTAAGCTCTCCAAGCATGCAGCTCAGTGTACCTTTTTATGTGGAGGAATGGATAGAAGAGGGAGGTACATAGCCAATGGCACCTCCGGGTTTTTGACACCCAGCTGTTTAGTCATTGTTTGGATTGTAACTTCTCTCGTCTTCAATAGAGGGAGCTCTTAAATTTTAGATCCTGATGGTGGTAAAGGTAGCCTTGGCTTTTTTTATTTTTTAACCTTTTTCTTCGTTTCTAATGCTTTGTATATGTGTTTTTAAAATGAATTCCTCTCTTAAATACTTTTTACAACGAAAAAAATGCTATATCTATATACAGGAGAATATACTCAAAATTGATGAAAAGAAGCACAAAGAAGGTGCAAAAAAAAAATAAAAAAATACCAAGATAAACTTAAGAAATCAATCCTTACTTCAAGCAAGGATTAGTCTGTTGACGTCCTAATTGGTAGAAACCAACTAATAGTTTATATGAATCTCGTAGTTGATGTGAGAAATTTCTTTCACCTAGCTTAGGTCAAACAAAGCACAAGAAACCCAATATAATTACTCTAGACAAAGAGTTTTTCGAGTAGGAGTTACACATGGGGGAGTCTACTAAGAAAAACTTATGAATCACTTGAAAAAGAAAATAGACATAAATAAGAATACGGATTCCTCTCATCAAATCTATAGTTAGTCAATCACCATGTTATTAGCTCACTCACTCTTTAACAACCATATTTGTTCTCCTACCTAAAAAAATTGTTGTCATGCTCCACAAACAAGGAAAAAATATTCATCGCAACAGTTATATCACGTCATTATTATTATGTGGTATTACCAATCAATATACAAACAAATAAAAAAGTAGGCCCTACAAAAATCAATAACTATCCGTTCATATAAACAAATAACTACTGACCCTTCTTTCATATAAGTCAATAACTACCTAAGTGAGATTCACTTTGCCCATTTAGAGTTTTATTTCGATTAACCATTAGATTATTACTCTCTTCTCCGAAGCTAAAGTTATTATTGGTACTACTGAACTCTTTGACCATGTCTCAAGCATTATTCAGTTGAATCATTTAGTGCAGCGCAATTATAAACCTTAAATGTTTATTAATGTGCAGTCTAATCATTCCGACTTTCTTTAAACTGTGGAGCAAGTTCATGTTCCATGTGATCCAAAAGCTAAAGGCATTTCGGCAGTTGGTCGGTCAAGACCAGTTGGTGACTTTCCCGAAGCTCCTTTTGACCTCAGCTATGTAAGAAACACCGACACAAAGAACAAGACTAGACTGAGGGCGGAGAAGATGAAGAAAGTCAATGGATTCATTCGCATATGAGCCTTTGCCTATACTCAAGAGACTTGTGAGATTGACAGAGACATGGAGGCCAGACTTTTGGTTGGTGATATCATTTCATTAATGCTGAGATAGTAATTGTAATTTTTGCATACATTACATAGAAGAACATTTGAGTCTAGGTTTTTTGTTCACATTAATCTTTAAAATCCGACTCGAGTGTCAAAAAATTTTAGAAAGTCCATATTTTATTATCTCGAATTTGTTATTATCTTTGTATTTTTTACAAGCCAAAAGAGTCCCTGACAACTATTTTCCTACATCAATGCTCGTGAAATAATTATTGGGAGAACTTGTGAACAAGGGGAGCAAAAAAGAGGAAAAATCTGAAGCCACATTGGTATGATGTGAAGCAGTTTTTTTTTTAATGGCTTTTGATCTTTTAAAAGCCAAAAAAAAAAAAGAGAGGGTTTTTTTGCATCTTATACCCCAAAAGATGTCTTGATTCTTTTTTGCACCCCGAAAATTATTTTGCTCACATTGCAACACATGTGTATTAATTTTTAATAGAGTCTGAATGAATGTCAGTCCGAATGCTATGTTAAAATAAATTTAGATATTCAGGGTACGATATAAGAAAAATAATTTTTTAGAATGCAAAGTAGAAATCGAAACATCTTTCAAAATATAAAATAATAATCGAAACATCTTTCCAAATATAAATTGCGAGAAAAAAAAGGGAGAAAAGAGAGCTCAGGTGCACTTTGTTTTCATCCGAGGAGTCAGACGATTGTGAGGACCCTGTCGTCACGTTGAGCGCATAGCTTTCATCACAGCTCTCCACGAAAAATGCATCAGCCGGGAATCGAACCCGGGTCTGTACCGTCACCACTAGACCACTGGTGCTGGTTGTCTCAAGCGTGAATCTTATCATACATGAATTAGTAAACGTGTTGTGCGTAGAAAAATAAACACTAAAAAAACTTAAAATTTTAACTTGATAAATTACTATCATTAAATAGATAGTGGGATCCACAGTTAAATCAATAACATATATAACAACTATATCATTGTGTCAATTTTTAAATTTGTATCATTGCTCTAATCCTTGAGATTCAAATTATCGACAATATGAAGGCATGTATGCAATGCATATGAGTTATGTAATTATATCACTTACTATTTGTGCCTAATTTTACAAACCTAATGTTTATAGTCATTAAATGGATGGTGGATTTTCATTCAATGTTAATACCCAACAGTTAATCTATTAGACATAATGAATTAAATCTTCCATGTAGGTTGTAATGGTGTCGTACCTTCGACAACGACAAATAAAAAAAAATTATACAACACATAAATATTTCTAAATTATGTGAAACAATCAAGAAAAATAATTTACCTAAGGAAGAATATGAATGCCAAATAAGTTGGACAAGTAGGTCCGTCAAAACAAGATCTCCTAGCACTAGTTGTGTTGGAGACTATTTTTGACAAAAAGAACATACAAATTTATATTACAACATTTCTCAATTTTATTTCTACAACCCTCATCGTCATCCCACCAATTTAACCGTCGTAGTTCCAACAATATCACCAAAAATGACGGACCAGAGAAAACGTTTGTAATTCAATTTTTTATTATGTTTGAATGCCACAAATTACTCTTCATAAATATGCCAATTGAGCTTCTATTTATCTACTTACTGAAGTGGTAATTTTACTTTTAACTTATTTACAAATAATTTAAATAAACAATTACAAACCCTATTTTTTTGTTAAAACTTAAATGTACTTGGGAGAAACAACAAATCCTAGAAGTCCCTTTTTTTTAAGTTATTCCAAATGTTTATGCTCTGTTTGATAGGAAGGGTGGAAAGTAGGAAAAATACATTTTTTATCCTTCAATGATAGAAAGTAAGAAATATACATTTTCCTTCTTTTGTATTTGGTTGGATTAATGGAAAATAAAAATGACTAATTTTTTTTTTTGGGGCTAAAATTAGAGGTGACAATCGAGTCAAGCTATGTCGTGTCAGATTCGTGTTGAGTCATTACAGTTTGTGTCGAATATTATTCAAATATAACTTAACTCATTTAACTAATTGTGTGGTGTCGAGTTGCGAGTTGACTTGTTTATTTTTGTATCGAGTTCGAGCCGTATCATCGTGTTGAGTCGAAAATTTTCACCCTTAGTTAAGATAGAAAAAATAAAAAAAAATTAAATTTTTTTAAAATTTTTAATTTTTTTATAAAATTTATTTTTAAAATTTTTTAAAATATATATACATATTTTATCATTGTATTTTTATATGAAATTAATGTATACATAAGATATATAGATAAATAAGATACATCTTAACACAAATAATTAATTTTTCATCCATTTTTTTCCAATTTTGGAGAGATTGATTTTTGTGAGTTGGAGGAAAAACTAATTCATCCACTTTTCTATCTGTCCTATTTTCTTTTCTTACAAAACATGATGTTTTATTGATTCTTCAAACTTTTTATCCTCTCACTTTTTTATCGTACCAAATGGAGCATTAAATATTATCCCCAACCATATATTGAAATTCACTCCGTGTGAGTGAATTAAACTAGCATCTAGTTTTATGCATTTGAAGAAAAAGTGTAAATAACCAATTATTTTACACTATTTTGCTTCGTTAAAAAAAAAAAAAGAGATACAAGAAAGAAAAAGCACACCAATTTTTTATTTATTTTTGGGTACATAGGAAAAGCCAAAGTTTTATCTAAACCCTTTAGCGAAAGAGATACAAGAAAGATCATTCTAAAAAAATTGTTCCAACACAAGCGATAGGACATCAAAAAACACAAAAGAGTCCTGTGGTAGCCCTCTCAGGCTTGCCATCTTGTCATCTCAAAATTTTCTTCTGTCAGTGTGCGAAGAATGGGAGTATTAGTCAATCCTATTATATACTTACAGTTGACAATGATTTTTCTTTCGAGGTGGAGTTCCTCCAACCTAGCAGTGATTAAGTTGAGGGCTTACAAAGAGTCAATTTTCATGATCATGAGTGTTTGGGCAATCTCTCAGTATATGAATTGTGCTTTCGTTGTGAGCCTTGCTTCTCTCACAAGAAGGATCATTCGTGACTAAACTTTATAATCTTGTCATTTTTAATTTTAAACAACTCAGTTTCATGAGTTTTAAGTCTTTAGTGGATCCATTAAGAAATTTAGTGTATTAGTTGTTATAATTATTATTAGAATTGAGTTTTAAGCAAAGACGTATTCAAAGCATCGTTTTGATGGTTATGTTGTGTCACATGAAAAGGTCACGATATAGTAGTGTTTAAGGGTCAGGAGTGTTCAAGTCAACCTATAATCACCTTGATTAATGTCTTCATTGGTCTCTCATCCATGTTATAATTAGAATATTTATAAGAAATAAATCTATCATAACTTGACTCTAAAGAATTGTCCAGATTCAAACCCAAGACTTATGAGTTTACAGCATGTCTTTGTTATTTACTTAAACTGAAAACACCTATAATAGAAGTAGAAACCTATTATGAAATAGAGTTTATGCAGTTCTATAGTTCAATGATAGAAACCAATTTCATAATGTATGAAATAGAATTTATGCAATTCAAACGAGTATATATAGTTTCAAGTTAATTTTAAGATGAACCACATACTTAGATGTTTTTGATTTAGTTTTCACTATGACCTTAAATTTGATAAATAATTTCAATTAGCAGGTGATTCGGATATTTTATATATAATCAAAATAGGTCCAATAGGTTTTGTCTTGAACTTGATCAAGAAAAAAAAAGGTTTTGTCTTTAAGAGGTTTTACTATATTCCCGTAATTTATCAGAAAAAGGCAAGAAAATTGAAGTGTAATCCATGTTTGCACTTTGTTTTTAAGTAAAGGGCAATAGTTTAAAGTTGTGGGGAATAATCTGTAAATGCCCCAAAATACTAGTGTTTTTTTTATAATCCACGGACCGACCCGGATAATTTACCAAATCGACAAGGATCGTCGTGGATCCTCACCCAAGGACGCTAGGGCTTCAAGCGTTCCGTATAAACATATCTCATTCACTATTTTCTCACTGCTCCTGAAATTAACCCTAGTTCCAGAGAAGCAGAGCCGTCTGAGTTGCGGAGACACAAGAGATCATCCAAGATGGTGAGAGGGAGAGAAACTCTTGATCTTCTTCTCATTCTTCATCGATTCGCTAAATCTAATTTGCGTGTGTATATATATGTGTGTGCAGACATTCAAGCGAAGGAATGGAGGCCGCAACAAGCATGGCCGCGGTCATGTCAAGTTCATCCGCTGCTCCAACTGCGGCAAATGCTGCCCAAAGGTCTTTTCATTATTGCTCTCTCTCTTTAGTATGCATGCTTGTCTAGATCTGTTTAGGATTCTTGACTGAAATCGATGTTGATCCACCGGCCCACATGTATCTTATTATTGGAAGCTTATGCACCCAATATTTTTTCCAGAGGTTGTATACAATTTTGTGGAAAGATCATTTAAAAGTCTGGGATTATATTCAATTGGTATAATTATTTCATTTGTTCAGTGGAGTACAATTACATGTCCATACCATACGTGTGTTTATGTGTTTGTGTGTAAAAACAGTTATTGTAATTATATTTGTTTGGAAGAGTACACCTATATAGATGTATCTTTTGGGACTGTATGTTCATGTTCAGTACGTGACGTATTCTGGTAAATGCTTGAATCACTGTAAATTCATGGTAGGAAAATGATTTGATTTTTTGGGCAGTTATTTTGTGATTATGGTGATTTGTTACCTTGTATACAAATAGGTAGGTAGATGTGCACTATACAGATATAAATTGAGGATTGCATAAGTACTATGGATTGCTTGTTTGTTATGTTGGGGTTATGCTAGTTGTTTGCCCTAAATGAGGTTCTTATTGTTTTGCCGTTATTTTGTGCTTTCTGTATTTTTTTACATGTTGTGTGATACTTAGACAGATCTGAATTTGTCTGTAGTTATTATTGTCATTGAAACTCTGTTTAATCGAAGTATGATTTTGTATCTATCTATTTCAGGACAAAGCTATCAAGAGGTTTCTTGTGAGGAACATAGTTGAGCAAGCTGCTGTTAGGGATGTGCAAGATGCTTGTGCATTTGATAGTAATTCTCTTAGCTTCTTTATTTTTTATGCAATTTCTTTTTTAGAATTAGTTATTTGCTTTGTAATGATGAAGATAATTAACCAAATGGTAGCTGTTATGTGTATTTAGCGTACACTCTCCCCAAGTTGTATGTGAAGATGCAGTACTGCGTTTCATGTGCAATTCACTCAAAAGTTGTTAGGGTCCGCTCTCGCACAAATAGGAGGAACCGTGAACCACCTCAGCGATTCAGGCGCCCAAGAGTATGTTTACTTCACCTTCTGTAATTGTTAACAGTTTTTAGTCTTCTCGGACTGATATGTTCTGTTGCTGGGATTTGATCATCCTTTGAATGATTTAAGCAGTTTGTCGAAATTGGACTTATTAGACATGAAATACTTATCTAAAGCGAAAATTGAATTTGTATTAAATGAATATACCAATGCTATCTGGCCAATGGTCTGCCTTGTATGCAATTCGCAGGGGCACACATAATGACAGTTACAATACCAATGAATTTTTAAACCTTGCTACGTGGTATTGCATCTCTATAATATTGCTGCTTATTATATCAGTTTTCTTATATAATTCTCTTCATTGCTTCAGGAGGATCTTCCAAGGCCAGGGCAAGCACCGCGTCCTGCTTGGGGAGCTCCAGTTGCTGCTCGTACTTGAAAACCCACTTGTTATTCTGCTCTACTAAGCTTTTAAACTTGGTTTCTGTGGAGTTTCATTATGCTTCAGTATATAAAGGTTTTGACCTTGACTGTTACTTTGTTTTATTTTAAGGTGGCATAGTACCTTCTTATCATTCAAAATTGCTCTAAAACTAAAGAGTTTTAAATTCTATCAATGAAGTGTTTTCAGACTTGTGACTGCTTGATTATGGAGATACACACCCTTTTATCATAGCATATAGTTCAGTGTCGAACTCGGGGAGTTCATAGCTAGAGGGAGATCTAGGGAACATTACATTATTATTCATAGTTTATAAAGTGAAAACCATGTTTTCATTTTTTATCATAATTTGATGCGCAACCCTTGATTTTACTTTGCTGAAATTTAATGGCCTTGTATTATTATAGCTGGTTGCAATATATTATTGCAGTAGGAATGCAAAACCTTGTTGAGTTCAAAGCCATTCTTATATATGACTATAACCTGCAATATCTTTAAATTTCTTGCTTCATGCTGTGGTTTAATAATTCTGTGATGGTTGCAGTATCCTTTTAGGTCACATGGTACAGGAACAGGATTATCATGGTCGTCCTTGCTTTGGCAGAGGAAGAAATCTTATGGTGGTCTTGTAAATCACATGTTTATTACTTCCTATAGGAAATCATCAACCGTAGAACAGTTGTCCTGGTGATATATAATCTTTAGGCCCTGCGTCAGTTAATCTCTCTCTTGTGACGGTTCAAATTATCAAGTCTTATAGGTCATGTGCCTGATTTAGTAGTGTTTCAATTATTGAGCTGTTCATTGACTGGTACTTCCATAATACTTGGTATTACGTTGAAATTGGTCTGGTAATTGGGATACTGCTTTCGAATAGGCGTGTGCATTTTCTGGGTCCACCCCTATTATAGATTTTCTTAATCTATAATAATAAAACGGAGTTTTGAGTTGTTTAAACTCCTCGGTCAGAAAAGTACAATAATGGTTTAGATCCTTTAGTTTTGATGGTTTATATTATAATTTAGTTTTATAACTTTTTAATTATGGTAATTTATTTAAATTTTAACTTTTAACTTTTTAATTACGATAATTTACTTAATTTTTAAATTTTAATCATAATAACTCATTTAAATTTTATTTTTTACCAAAATAATTCAACACATATATTTGAAAAAAAAAAAAAGGTGTTTTGTACAGGGCACCCTAATATGTCAATGGCCTTAGAAGTGAATAGCATGTTGAATTGAAGCGGCTGTATGGCCACTTGTAGCTCTGGCAATTCTAGATATGATTCGTGAAATTGGCACGAATTCAATATGGATTTAGCGGGTTTGAGTGTAATCTTAACGAGTTCGGGTAGTGAACGGATTATCTTGGTAGACCTGTGAAATAAATGAATCGGTTTTGTGTTTAATTTATAAACTCGTTTCAACTCTTTTAACCTGTTGACAATGTATTATAATTTTTTTTTAAAAAGTTAGGTTTATGCCCCAGTATTATTTCATACTCTCAATCTCTTAGACTCATTCAAATTTATTAGTTATTTAATGTTTATTTATTTATTTATTTATTTTACTCAGCCATGATTTATTGTTATAATAAACAAGTCAAATATATGTAATGTATAGTAAATTGATGATTTTTCGTGTGTACTCAAAATATTTGATGCAATCAATATTCTAACTTATTATCTTATTTAGCGGGTGACACACGAGTTGTATCGGGTAACCTGCCTAATAAATAATTCGTGTATGAGTGTGATAGTTAGACTCGTTTATATAAACGAATTGGTATAGATAGAGGATTTTTTGACACAAATTCATTTCATCCGAGACAAAACCATTCCACTTGACACAATTATCAGGCTTAGCCCTCGGATTTGACAGTCTAATCATCAGCATTCAATATTAATATTAAACTATCCAAAGGATTAAGTGAATTCTAATTGTATGCACGTGTTAGTCATTAGGTAATTATTCAAAGGTAATTTTTTTTTTTTTGAGATAACAAAGGTAGTTGCATATCGGGAAATTCATTAGCTTATTTTATGGTTTATTATTACGTGATGGTATTACATGAATGTTATTATGGACAATTTTATGTATATTAAATTTGTGTATCAAAATTTATATCAAATTAATTGCAACTTTTAGATCATTGACATGACTTATTGATCTAATGACCATAAGTGATTTAGTATAAATTTTAGTACATATTTTATGTAAAGTAATATTACGAAACTCAAATACATATCATCTCTTGAATGAGTGGATCTTATTAATTTCTTTCTTGAAACCCACAAATCCAAGAGGAGCAATGCTATATATCCTAAATTTGTATCTCAAATGTACATCTCAAATTAATAAGGATGGTTAGATCAGTGAGTATCAATTAAAAAAGTTGATGAAACACACTCATATAATAGTCTCCGTTCATTTGTAATGTAAATTTGAGTTACATAGTATTTCCCCATCTAAGAGATAACATTCATTTGAGTTTTATTTGGATTATGTAGTATTTTTCTTTTTCACGCATATAGTTTTGTTTTATTATTATTTGAACAATGCTACATTAATTTAAAAATTAGGAAAATACTATGTAACCTAAATTTTTAACCTAAATAAAGGGAGACCATCTTATGAATGAGTCATATCAATTTTTTTAAATGAGATTTATTGATCAAATGGTCCTCTTCATTTGGGATACAAATTTGGGTTACAGATGTTGGTTACATAACATTACTCTAAAAATTATACTTGATAATTATAACTATTGATTTTACTGTGAATTTCGACATTTATTGAGACTCATTATCTATTGAATAGTTGTGATTATTAAGTTTAGTTTTTAAATTTAATTTTTAAGTTTATGTAATATTATTTTTATTATTTTATTAAATGTTGTCCGAATCTTTGTCCGTTCCTTGGTAGTAGCAGAGACAAGACAACCGGACATAAATGTCATCCGCAATTCAACTCCCTAGTCTTCTGGAATCGAGAACAGTCAAATGGTTTTTAATAGAACCTAGAATGTTCAAGGAACAAATTCCAGCTTGCAACAGTTCCTTCTTTCCATTGACCTTTTCTTTGGTTGATATTTCCCCTCGATTGCATAAATATGGTGTATGTTCATTCTCCATACTTATGCAGACCAGGATTTTTTATTGATGGTCCATTATTTGATAGTGTGACTGAAAAAATAAATAAAGAAAAAATTATGAGTGATATATTTTTTATATTTTATGAAAGAATTATTCTTTCTCTCGTAAGAGAGATGTAAAGTTGAAAAAATTGATTTTTTTTGTATGTGTTTGATATGATGGGAAAAAAAAATATTTTTTATTTTTTATTAGAAAAATATAAGCATATAAAATTAATATATACATAATATGCAACTAATAAATATAATATATAGACAAATATTATACGTTTCAATACATATAATTAACTTTTTTATTTATTTTTTCTCCCAATTTTGTAAAGATTGATTTTAATAAATTAGAAATAAACTTAATTCATCGACTTTTGCATCATTTCTATTCACTTACTTTTCATCCTTTTAATTTTTCCATCGTACCAAATGAAATTTAATTGTTTCATCTCAATTGATATGATACAATTTTCATCATCAGATAATTGAGTTTCATTAATATTCAATAATTAAAATTATGCTACATTACTTGAAATGAAAAGCTTGGTAAATATAATATTACTATTATATCAAAGCGATTTTCCTTATTCCTATATTAGACCTCTAGAATTAGAAAAAAATATTATTTGAATTTAATTTGAAGATCTAATAATCTAATCAACTATTATTGTTGGATTTAAAGTGAGTTGTATCTAACATTGAAACTTACTATTTATTCAATAGTAATATTAAATTAAATTCTCCAATGAGATCTTATAACATTCCTCTTGAAATTATGCTTTTAATACATAGATTGTGTCTTTTAAAATTAATTACCATTGTGATTGCATGACCTTATTGTTTTGCAAAGAGAATACTATTTTAAAAGAAAAGTATCCCCAGGAATTAAAATATTACGATTTAAACTAATTAGGGTGCGACTCAAATATATCAAAATTACAACATCAATGAACGTCAAAATATTTGAGATTGATAAAAGAATGTTCGAAGAACGATTTTAATGAATTTTTGTATATCGTAAATTAATTTATTATAATTATCTATACTAATAAGATAGGACTCATTTTGAATTTTTTTCTACTTTAAAATTTAATTTATTTGGAAAAGCATAAGAACGGCTCAGATTAAATCCACTTTTAATTCAAAGGCCCACATTTTCATCTCATTTCTTCCATTTCAATCCAATGGCTTGCGATGCATCTCAACCCAAAAAAATAATCCCGCCCATTTTTATCCACACGCCTACAGTTACTCAAATCAAACCCATTCCCCTACACAGCTATTCTCTGTCTCCCGCCATGCCTCACCCATTTCCCACATACCCATTTCCTCTGCCATGCCTCACCCCAGACAGCAACCCACACTCCTTACCCCTCTACCCACACCCTTCTCACAACGGCTCAGCAGCAGCGACACCGGCTCAGCAGCGGCACACAGTGGCGATCAACACAGCAGCGACACCAACGGCGTTCAACACAGCGGCACACAGCGGCTCACCAAGCTCAGCCCAGGTACCTCCCTCTCCCCCTTTCACGACCCACAGCAAATTAAACATACCCACCTCTCTCTCTAGCTGAAGTCGAAAATGATCATTTCTGCTCAAAGATTGGAAAACATTTTGATTGCAGAAAGCTACAGAAACGAATTGAGTTTTTGCATTTTCTAGAAAGGAGAAAAGAGGCATCCAGTATAGGAAAGACCTTGATTTCTAAACTTCAAAAATCACTTAAGCTAATTAGATTGAATATAAGCTAAATCAAACAAAGTGTAAATCAAAATTACACAAAAATTTCTCTCGGTCATTCCAACAAACAATTGGTGTGGGTGGGTCTGTTTGTGATGTGTGTGTGGGTGAGTGGGTGTGGGTGTTTGTTTCTGGGTGAGTGGGTGAGTGGGTGTGAGTGTGTGTGATGTGGGTGCGTGTATACTGGGTCTGTGTTGGGTGTGTGTGCTGGGTTTGTTTGTGTGTGTGCGATTTGTGTGTGGGTGGTGAGTATGTATGTGTGTATTGTGCGCTGTGGGTGTGCGTGTGCAATGTGATTGTGTGTGAGCGAGAGAAGTGTTGGGTGATGTTGAGTAGAAGAGGGCAGAGAAGATATGGGGGTAGGATGGGGGTTAGTGTGTGCTTGTGTGTGTGTGTGAGAAAGAGAGAGAGACTATTGCGTTATTACTATGCAGGTGTTGCTAGGCATGGGGGTTAGATTCTTGCTATGCATCTATATCTATATAATAAAGTAGAGTTGTTTTTGAATTCCAATCATAAACAAGTAGAGCTGTTTTTGAATTCATAAACAATGTCTTAGATCATTTCTATAGCGCTGTGTGTGTGTGTGTGTGTGTGTGTCTGTGTGTGTGAATATGTGTATGATACATTCATACATATATGTGTGTGAAATTTTCTTTGTTTTGTTTGTCGTGTCATTGGCAGAAACAAAATACCAAAATTTCCCAAGTTTTGGGGGTTTCAAAAGAAAATAAGAGAGCGAATTTTTATAATTTACATTTACATTTTCATATATGAGAATTGAGAAGTTCCAATCAATTTACTAAATAGCTGTCAAAGAATTAAATTGAGTAAATTGTTGTGTCCTTTGTCAGTAAAAATTTCACAATCTTTTGTGTATTTTGTTTTTCTCTCTCTTCTATTTTCTGGGGAATTATGATTGTTTCTTCTTCTAATTTTCTTTGTTTTTGGGTTCTGTAATTATATATCATAGAATATGGAAGTTAATAAGTTTAGTTTGACCGTTTTAATTGATTGCATGTGTAATTTTGCCTACCGGTTT